GGAAAGGGCACTGGACATGACACGTTATCTCTGATTTCTCACTACAGAAGCTGCCAGACCTGCTGAGTTTTTCCAGAAATTTCTGTTTTTGTTTCTGTTGTAGACATAAGACTGTTGTAGACGTAATACTGTCACTGGAGTCCAAGGCTGAGAGAGACAGATTTTTAATCACTAAAGTCATCGTGGAAAATATGAGTAAAAGACAAAGAAAGTATAGTTGAAGGTGATCAGATCAGTGATGATATCACTGAATGGCAGAATGGACTTGATGGGCTGAATGGCTGATTTTTGCTCCAATGTTTTAGGGTCTATCACCCCTTGACGTTCAATGGCTTTACTATTATGGAATCCTCCACTATCAGCATCCTGTGTTTACCATAGACCAGAAAATGAATTGAACGTGTTATATAAATACTGTGGCTACAAAAGCTAGTCAGCAACTAGAATACTGTAACTCACCATCCATCACCTACAAGGCTCAGGCCAGGAATGTGATAGAATACTCCCCACTTGACTGGATGAGTGCAGCTCCAACAATACTCAAGAAGCTTAACAAAGTCCAAGACAAAGCAGCCCACTTGACTGGCACCACATCCTCAAACAGTCACTTGTTCCACACCAATCATTAGTCACTGCAGTGTGAACCATCTATAAGATGCACTGCAAAAATTCACCAAAATTCTTTAGACTGCACCTTCCAAATCCCAGGCACTACCATCGAGAAGGACAAGGGCAGAAGACATATGGGAACACCTCCATCTGCAAGCATTTTGGGTCTGCCTATGCCAAGTGAACTGCAGTGCTCCAAGAAGGCACCTCACCACCACCTCCTCAAGGATAATTAGGGATGGGTATAAATGCTTGTGTGCCCAACAAACTCCACATCCCCTGAGAGAATAAAACCAACTTCTTGGGTGGGACCAGGCAGCAACATTGAATTGATCTTACTTTGATAGAACTCACAGGATTCTCAGTGGCAGAGGTCACCAATAAGCTGATCACAACCGAGGGGCTAAGGGAGGTGTGGGTATTATGTCCATCTGTCAGTAGTGATGGCAGTGGCTCCAATGTTCTTTTCATAACATGGCTGAGCAGAAATCGTCTCTGCTCTCACTCTTGATATAATTTGGAAGGATTTGCAGGTTGATTCGTGACCCTTTTGGCTACGAGTACTCCTTTTTAGTTAATTCCTAGTGTGGAGCCCGCATCCACAGCTTCTGGCTCAAAGGCAGGGGCATTGCCCCATGTACCTCAAAACCTTCCCCTTCAAAGGCAAACTGAGATTAAACCAGGAAAGCCATTATTTTTAATGAGAGACAACAAGGTGCAGAGCTGGATGAACACAGCAGGCCAAGCAGCATCATAGGAGCAGAAAGGCTGACAGTTCGGGCTTAGACTCTTCATCAGAAATGGGGGAGGGGAAGGGGGTTCTGAAATAAATAGGGAGAGAGGGGGAAGTGGATAGAAGATGGATAGAGGAGAAGATAGGTAGAGAGGAAACAGACAGGTCGAGGAGGTGGGGATGGAGCCAGTAAAGGTGAGTGTAGGTGGGGAGTTAGGGAGGGGGA